CACATACACACACACTCACACTCACACTCACACACACACACACACACACACACTGACACACACACACACTCACACACACACACACACACACACACGCACACACACACACGAATACTCAAACTGAAGAATTCTGTTGTTTCAGGTTTCTAGATTCTAGGTTTAAGTTTATCCATGTAATTTACATTTTGCATTCTGCTCTTTTTTTGTAATTTTTTAGTTCTATATTTTATATATTTTTTAGTTCTGTATTTTAGTTCTATATAAAAAAAAATAGAAACCATCACATAATTTGTAATGGTTTTACTGGTTATAATGAAAATTGTATTGGTTTTAATGTAAACTGTAATGGTGCCTGTTGGTCTCTACTGGTAATTGGTCACCTTCTATTCATGGCTTTTGTTAAAGCCACTAAATCCTAGTGTAATATGTCCCAAAACACACTACAGGAAACCATTATTTAATGGCTTTAATGGTTAAAAGTTGATGTTTGTAATGGTACTTGTAGTGGAAATCATTCAAATTTCTGTGATGGTCTCTATTGTTGGCCACTGATAACTTTTACTATCCTGCAGCATGTGAGCTTGAGAAATATAAATAATAAATGACATGAAGATATGCTAACCCTAAACTATGTTTTTTACTAGCGGACGACTACAGTGGATACTGTAACATTCGTTAAATTTACCGCGGGTTATTTTATTAAAAGTTAGCAGTTCTATATACAAATAAATAAGCGGTAAGTCAAGTCAAGTCAAGTCAAGTCTGCTTTATTGTCAATTCTTCCACATGTACAGCACATACACACAGAGAATTGAAATTGCGTTACTCTCAGACCCTTGGTGCATACAGATAACACTAACAGTAGAAAAACACGAAAACACCTTTCTGTCGGGAGAGAGAGAAGCCGCAGCGTGTGAACGCGCCGCCATCTTGTTTTCCAAGCTTCCAAACAGCACGTCATCGTGAAAATAGTGACAAATATCAACAGCTAGCGAAATATCTACAGAAAAATATATCGGATTAACCTAGCTGCCTTCTCACTGACTAGACCCTCTGCTCTGCAGAACAGTTAATGATATGCTAATGACAGGATCCCTTGACGCCATTGGTTATTGAGTTTTGTGACGTAGCGAAAAAAAGGCCGTTTCAAAACACATTTCTGGGACTGCCTTTGGGAAACTACAGTTTTAAGGAGAAAATGCTCAGCAATGGTGTTGATTAATGGATTGGCACATGGTTTTCTAAAAGCATATTAAAAAATCAACAGCTAGCGAAATATCTACAGAAAAATATATCGGATTAACCTAGCTGCCTTCTCACTGACTAGACCCTCTGCTCTGCAGAACAGTTAATGATATGCTAATGACAGGATCCCTTGACGCCATTGGTTATTGAGTTTTGTGACGTAGCGAAAAAAAGGCCGTTTCAAAACACATTTCTGGGACTGCCTTTGGGAAACTACAGTTTTAAGGAGAAAATACACAGCAATGAATTGATTGAATAGATTGGCACATGGTTTTTCTAAAAGCATATTAAAAACACCACATAGACAAATAAACAACTTGATTTTCACTACAGGGGGACTTTAAGTAGAAAGACTGAAATAGTATTTTCCTGTAAAATCTACTCCAATAATCTTTGATTTATTAACTCTACGGTGTAGTTCATACATAATTGTATAACGACAACTCATGTCTCAGTGAGCCACATTTTCTGAGAGCATCTACAATTACACAACAAATGCTATTATGAGATGATCAGTTCATGGTTCTCTTGCAGGACGCATTAGAAGCATCACTCTTCTGATACCACATCTTGTGGAAGACATTTTCTCCAGAAAACTCCCTCCACGAGGGCTTGGCATCTGTCAAGACCATTCTCCTTCAGTATCTGCTCTAACTGAAGGACAGAAACAGACTTTATTACTCAATACTCGTTACGTTTATCATCATCGTTATATATTTGATTTACTGTATATTAAACTCACCTCTGCCAAAATCTTACTCTTCACTGCAGGATCATTCACATTTCGGCTTGATTTTACCTCCAGTCTCACCATCTGTCTCTTTTTCTCTGTAAGAGACACGATGAAGCGCTCAGGCCAATATTATCAACATACATTCGGTTTAAGTGATCACAGATTGATCGTGGTTTCGTTACACTAACCAAAGAGTAACCATGTAGTAAAACTGTGGTTACACAAATTGTAGTAAATACAAAAACCATGCTTACACTTTTACTTTAATAAAACCATAATGTACGTAAGGGATTATGTAGCCATCCAATAATCGCAAGAAGCTTTGTGTTTTGTAAACTTCCATAAAAGCAAAAACTCACCTTTCAAATTGTCAATTTTATCAGGAAATTTAAACAAATGTCATTTTGACGCTCTTGTGGTGCGACAAGTTCTTGCTGTTTGCTAGTTACGGCACAAAATACAAATGAACATCTTGTGTCTCATGTCAATTAAACATGCAGTTTGTAAACAATACGACACGTAACATGACTTGTGTTCAGTTCCGCTGGGAGGTTAAATTAAGTGAAATGGTTTGACATTGACTGTACTGCAGCTGCTGCTCACAACTCACCAGTGTAGCAAATAAATGGTAATTTATCTGTACACCAATAATCGCTCCAGTATCCTTTAGCAGACATGCACACACAGTACTGGTGGCCACCAACATTGTTTGGTTGTAAAGAATCCCACGGTGTGAACAGGGCTTTGCTCCCATCGGACCAGACCCAGACCCAGGGAGAATACTCATCCGTCCGATAGAGTCCAATCCACATTCAATTGCTAAAACCACTGGGTAGAGATTGTAACAGCTCATCGATGTACGTCTGGTCATTTAAGGTGACGAGATCGGTGTGATGCTGTCTGCAGTAGGTCTGAGCTTCGGTCCAGTTCATTTTCTCAGACACCAAGTAAAACACATAAGAGTTCACACCGGAGCTCAGAGCTGCGGAGAGAGACAATAATCCGTTTATGGCATGCAATTTATAATGTTGAAATGTCAAATTCAGAATGCACTGGCAAAGTTAAAAGTAACTCAATTCCACTGGAATTTTCTTTAGATCAACCATCCCAGGTGAAAAAAGTACACTTTTATAATGTACTTAAAATGCTCTATTTTCGCGCACTAATTTTGTACTCAAGATAAACTTACGATCATCTAAGTGTACTCAACTGTGCTATTTTGGGACATCATGAATATGAACTAAAATGTGCTTTTAACATACTATTTCTATATTTAAAAAAATGTGTTTAGTCACCACTTGTAGTACTAGTGTATGAAAGATGGGTTCAAGTGTACTACTGTCACGGAGTACGAGGAACGAGGAGAACGCAGGAGAATCAGGATTTAACAGTCTTTATTTACATCAGGACACACACGTAGGAACAGGGATCGACGTTCAATACCGGACGGGAAACGAGGGGCAGTAAACACTTTAAATACACTGAAACTAATGGGACACACCTGGGAACAATGGAACAGAATGGGGAACACCTGGAACAAATGATAACACAATCAGGACAGGAACAGGAAGACCAAATAAGGAAATAAACATAACATGGAGCATGTGGGGGAAGGAAACACACACAGACACGGAACAGAGTCTGACAACTACAAGTGGTAACTACTACATACATTGTTTTTAAAATACAGAGATAGCATGTTAAACGCGCATTTTAGCTCATATTCATGGTTTCCCAAAATAGCACAGTTGAGTACACTTAGATGATCTTAAAGGGATAGTCCACCCAAAAATGAAAATGTGATGTTTATCTGCTTACCCCCAGGGCATCCAAGATGTAGGTGACTTTGTTTCTTCAGTAGGACACAAACTGAGATTTTTAACTCAAACCGTTGCAGTCTGTCAGTCCTATAATGTCAGTGGATAAGAATCACGGCTTTGAGAGTCATAAAACATACACAAACAAATCCAAATGAAACCCTGCGGCTCGTGATGATACATTGATGTGAAAAGCAGGGCTCTGAACCGGATCAAGGAACGAAAACGAAAGAAAGAAATGTGCTGAGTTACGGTTCATTGTGACGTGTTCCAAAGTTCTCGGAAAGGAAAACGAGACGGCAGAGAGTAGTTTTCTTTATTTTGCAAAAGCTTCACAGTTTTATTTATTTTGCGAAAACTTGACAGTTTTGAATGATGTCTTCTTCTATCTGTATAACCAACCAGCGTTGGACCATTGCGCCGGCGCCTCACGCGCACACAACATATTTTTGCCAGCAGCGGGGAAATGAATGTGCATGAGTTATTTTATTTAGTCTGTGTTACTTCAATGTTTTTTTTTACCTAAAATATTGAGACTCTGATGTTAATGTGTCTGCATTCAAGCATTTCAGTGGGCTTAAACAGATCACCCTTTACAGCAGATTTAGTTCACAGACAACTGACAGCTTTGACCTAAATATGATTTTCAGTTACAATAATTAATCCTAAAACTCGACATTAGTAACTTACTTCTAGCAGCATCAGACGCGCATGCGCTCACAACATCTCCCTGTTCTTACTTGTGAATTCAGTTCACTGGAGACTCGCACTAAACGGATCATTTGAATCAGTGAGTTGTCGACTCGAGAACAGCTGCAATCGGTTCATTCTAATTCGTCAATGAATCGTTTGGTGCGATTTGCGAACCGATTTTAAAAGTTAATTGAAAAGAATCAGTTCGTTCTTGAATCAGACACCGCTTCTGCGTCTCGGAGCACGTGATATATTATAAGGAGTAACGATATGTTTTATGAAATGTAGTGAAGTAAAAAGTACGATCTTATGCTTTGGAATTTAGTGAAGTAAAAGTAAAAGTTACTCAAAATAAAACTACTCCAGTAAAGTACAGATACTTGAAAAATTTACTTAAGTACAGTAACGAAGTAAAACTACTCCGTTACTGTCCACCACTGATCAAAATAAAATACAATATAAGAAACAAATAAAACGTTACACTGCTCCGTTGTACTATCTGTTGCGTTCAGCGTGACCAGCGCCTCACTGTGCTGATGTAGCCGATGTGAAGGATGATGTTTTACGTCGATGAATACGTTTTTATAGCCTAAACGCATAGCCTTAACTTTAGAGGATTTGTTGAGAGAAACGTCAATAATGTTTGTATACATTTTGCTTTAGCCTACTGGCATTTTAGCCTACATTATTTACATTTACATTTAGTCATTTAGCAGACGCTTTTATCCAAAGCAACTTACAAATGATGACAATAGAAGCAATCAAAACTAACAAAAGAGCAACAATATATAAGTGCAAATGACAAGTCTCGGTTAGCCTAGCACAGTACACGTAGCAAGGTGTGTATATATATATATATTATACACACACACATATATACACACAAAGAAAAACAAGTAGATAGAATATTAAAAAATAGAAAGCTAGTGTTTAAATACGCTACTTGTTTTTTTTTTCACTCTCAAAACGCAATCTTATAGTAGCGTTTTTTAACAATGCAGCAAACATTTTTAAATATCTTAAAAATACTTTAATTTCTTTAAAGTGTTACTAGATTTTTTCTTTTGTTTAGTAGCCTACAATTAGCCAAAATCTGAATAATCGCAGAGGGTTATTGGCTAACGTTAGATCTCTTCCTGTTTTTTTTTCTTGTTCTTTTTGACTAAAGAACACGGTGTACATTATTATTATTAGGCTATTATTATATATATATTATATAGTTTTTCTTCTACCTGAACCGGTTTCGGAACGGTAATAATACAGAGGAACGCAGGAACAGAAACCTTAAAATATCGATTCTGCTCGGAGTGAGTGAACCGATCGAATTTTTTTTTCGTTTTCAAGCCCTGGTGAAAAGACACAAAACGATCGGTCTGTGCAAGAAACTGAACAGTATTTATATAGTTTTTACCTCTGATTTTCACCGCAATGTCTGAACTGTCCTGAGCGCGTCCTGAGTGT